GTTCATTTCAAGATTGATTACCAAACTATAATTCCCTAAAGATTTATGAATTTGATCACTAAGCGTTGTTCAACGAAATTAGCTCATACATTGCAACCCTGACTAATAGAACCACCTGCACGTTGCAAAATAACTGTCCCCTGGCGTTCCCAATCTACAAAATCCAGATAACGGAAATTTCCCACCTCGCAAATGCATTCAATCTCTTTTCTTCCAACCGCAAGAGTTCCGCCATGTTGGCAAACATTCGCAGTGCACCTGAAAAGACCGGCACTGCTTATATTCGTACTTTACATCAGGTACCGGCAATCTAGGGGATCAGCCCTTCTTTTTTAAAGTACAAACATATCCCAATGTAATTGATAGGCTAATAGTTGCATTAACTCACACTTTGCCATGTAGTGCGTGACCTTCGGGACAGCCTTCGAACTCGTTACAAATCGGTCCCTTCCATTTCGGCTCACACACGCACTTCCCGCCCACCATATGGGCATGTACTAAAGGAGTAAATTTAAGAAAATTACAATCAAAAAAGCTTTGTTTTGAAATTTTGCACTATTGGAATTCTGAGCTAAATCCCTACAATCAGTAGTTTGTACTCGACCATCACGCAACATTTTTCTGGTTCAGAAAAAATGAACTAAGGGTTTCTATATATAGATCATCCATCCGCAAAAGCTTTAGTTTTCATGGAATTAGAGAAAAAAGTGCAATATCTCGCTGAAAAGCGATAACTAAAGGATATTACGCTATAACTGCATAAGCTATATTGAGAAATTAGGGACACTTTCGTGATAGCTAACTTAAGTTGCATTAAATAGTCATAAGACATATATCGAGAGGATCTGTACGCGTCAAAATCTGGAAATCTTACTTTTGCACAATAGATTTTAAAAAAAGGGTTCTATGAACAAGGGGAATGAAATGAATTTGCAGCTGTAAGTTTGTACTATGGACTGCTTTCCTTCTAGTCAATTCATGAAAGATAGAATAAGAATTGATACCTATATGTGTGCATTTCATTTCATTATGTTCAAAAGGAATCACTAAGCTGTTGAACATGAAGATAGAACTTTTTACAGCCATGCAATTCCAATAATTATTTGTCGTGCATTTATATTACCCTTTAAAAGTTAATTTTCGTTTGCGATAACTAGCACATCTATCGCAAAACTAAGTTCACCTATTGCGAACTCCGAGAGGAGGAAAAATAGGGAGAACAGAAGCTCACCAATTTTAATGATAAATGAAGGTACAGGAGGCGAGAATCAAAAAGTAAAAACTCCATAAATTCCTGGAATATCGTTTCTTTCGCTAGCCTGACATTTCCCGATATCACTAAGTAAGAAATTCCTAATGAAAATTTGAAGCACCGCTGTTTGCTTACTGAGAGTGAATGGATTTTGTGAAAAAGATGAAAAGTCAGTATTGAATAGCTGTCAGTTGTGAGGCTAGTTTCGCACATCAAGTTGAAATATGACATTTAGAAAAATTCATAGCAAATCTAGTGTTTATCCATAGTTACATTTTCCCAGACAAAGTACACATTGCAATGCAATTAGAAGATTCTTAAGCAACGGGAA